CAACATTGCTCCATGCATAAATGACAACTTGGCTTGCCATACAATTGACTCAAAGCGGACACGTATACATCACTTACCCCTAACGGTCGGATTAAAACCTTTCCACTTTATTGGTGTCCAGTCCTTGTTCAGGACAGTAATCCTCTCACTGAATAACCTTTAGGAGCATTCAACATCGAGGACATCTACTGAAATTACTTGTTATCTTGGGGAGAGTCATTTTAGAAAGAGACATAATGATAAATGTCCTAAATTCCATGTGTTATATCATCATAGAATTTTGCCACGAGTAGTAAATATGGCCCTGACAGGAACAAGAGCACTTCCGTTGGATACGTAACATTCACAAGACATGTTGCCCTGAAAGAACCTTGACGATTGCACTGAACTGGAGACAAGCGCGAGGATCAAACCTGTTTATGAAGAGTTTCTAACGGTTGTCCAGTTCGATGAGTGTAACATTTGGAGGACCAACCGATTCAAAGTATGATCTGATTCGGTTGTTGTTAAGTTAAATCAGATGGATCCAGTAAGTGTAGCACCCTGAGAGACTAGCGGAGCAAACTAGTTCCATTGACAAGATTCAGAAGAAGGTACCGTCGATGTTTCCGCCGCCAGCGTGTCCGCCAGGCAGACAGGACAGTTGACGGTGGCGAATCCACGGGGTTTATCTGGGGGAATTAAGAACCCCACAGGACCCTGGCCTGTAGTTTTCTTTATAAAATTTCTATTTCATTTTGAACACTTTATCGACCTTACCGCGTATGATTAAAGACAGTCAACCTTTTCGCCCACGTGCCATAAAAATCGATCGTTCCGCCTAAAAGCCAGCACCAGTCGATGTTACCGCCTAAAAGCCTGCACCAGTCGATCTTACCGCCTAAAAGCCTGCACCAGTCGATGTTCCCGCCTAAAAGCCAGCACCAGTCGATGTTCCCTCCTAAAAGCCAGTACCAGTCGATCTTACAGCTATACAGCCAGTACCAGTCGATCTTACAGCTATAAAGCCAGTACCAGTCGATCTTACAGCTATAAAGCCAGTATCAGTCGATCTTACAGCTATAAAGTCAGTACCAGTCGATCTTACAGCTATACAGCCAGTACCAGTCGTTCTTAAAGCTATAAAGTCAGTACCAGTCGATCTTACAGCTAAAAGCCAGTACCAGTCGATCTTACAGCTATACAGCCAGTACCAGTCGATCTTACAGCTATACAGCCAGTACCAGTCGATCTTACAGCTATAAAGCCAGTACCAGTCGATCTTACAGCTATAAAGCCAGTACCAGTCGATCTTACAGCTATAAAGCCAGTACCAGTCGATCTTACAGCTATAAAGCCAGTACCAGTCGATCTTACAGCTATAAAGCCAGTACCAGTCGATCTTACAGCTATAAAGCCAGTACCAGTCGATCTTACAGCTATAAAGCCAGTACCAGTCGATCTTACAGCTATAAAGCCAGTACCAGTCGATCTTACAGCTATAAAGCCAGTACCAGTCGATCTTACAGCTATAAAGCCAGTACCAGTCGATCTTACAGCTATAAAGCCAGTACCAGTCGATCTTACAGCTATAAAGCCAGTACCAGTCGATCTTACAGCTATAAAGCCAGTACCAGTCGATCTTACAGCTATAAAGCCAGTACCAGTCGATCTTACAGCTATAAAGCCAGTACCAGTCGATCTTACAGCTATAAAGCCAGTACCAGTCGATCTTACAGCTATAAAGCCAGTACCAGTCGATCTTACAGCTATAAAGCCAGTACCAGTCGATCTTACAGCTATAAAGCCAGTACCAGTCGATCTTACAGCTATAAAGCCAGTACCAGTCGATCTTACAGCTATAAAGCCAGTACCAGTCGATCTTACAGCTATAAAGCCAGTACCAGTCGATCTTACAGCTATAAAGCCAGTACCAGTCGATCTTACAGCTATAAAGCCAGTACCAGTCGATCTTACAGCTATAAAGCCAGTACCAGTCGATCTTACAGCTATAAAGCCAGTACCAGTCGATCTTACAGCTATAAAGCCAGTACCAGTCGATCTTACAGCTATAAAGCCAGTACCAGTCGATCTTACAGCTATAAAGCCAGTACCAGTCGATCTTACAGCTATAAAGCCAGTACCAGTCGATCTTACAGCTATAAAGCCAGTACCAGTCGATCTTACAGCTATACAGCCAGTACCAGTCGATCTTACAGCTATAAAGCCAGTACCAGTCGATCTTACAGCTATAAAGCCAGTACCAGTCGATCTTACAGCTATAAAGCCAGTACCAGTCGATCTTACAGCTATAAAGCCAGTACCAGTCGATCTTACAGCTATAAAGCCAGTACCAGTCGATCTTACAGCTATAAAGCCAGTACCAGTCGATCTTACAGCTATAAAGCCAGTACCAGTCGATCTTACAGCTATAAAGCCAGTACCAGTCGATCTTACAGCTATAAAGCCAGTACCAGTCGATCTTACAGCTATAAAGCCAGTACCAGTCGATCTTACAGCTATAAAGCCAGTACCAGTCGATCTTACAGCTATAAAGCCAGTACCAGTCGATCTTACAGCTATAAAGCCAGTACCAGTCGATCTTACAGCTATAAAGCCAGTACCAGTCGATCTTACAGCTATAAAGCCAGTACCAGTCGATCTTACAGCTATAAAGCCAGTACCAGTCGATCTTACAGCTATAAAGCCAGTACCAGTCGATCTTACAGCTATACAGCCAGTACCAGTCGATCTTACAGCTATAAAGCCAGTACCAGTCGATCTTACAGCTATAAAGCCAGTACCAGTCGATCTTACAGCTATAAAGCCAGTACCAGTCGATCTTACAGCTATAAAGCCAGTACCAGTCGATCTTACAGCTATAAAGCCAGTACCATTCAATCTTACAGCTATACAGCCAGTACCAGTCGATGTTACCGCCTAAAAGCCAGTACCAGTCGATCTTAAAGCTATAAAGCCAGTACCAGTCGATCCTACAGCTATAAAGCCAGCACCATCCGATGTTTTCGTCTATAAGCCAGCACCATCCGATGTTTTCGTCTATAAGCCAGCACCAGTCGATGTTTTCGTCTATAAGCCAGCACCAGTCGATCTTTACGTCTATAAGCAAATATTGTTTTCATTTCTACAAATGTTCTTGCAAAAAATATGCAAAGGGATAGGGCATCAGGCAAAGGGATAGGGCATCAGGCAAAGGGATAGGGCAGCAGGCAAAGGGATAGGGCATCAGGCAAAGGGATAGGGCAGCAGGCAAAGGGATAGGGCATCAGGCAAAGCCTATATAAGCCTTCTCCTTACAACTTCGGTATGGTATATGAACATATAAACAATTCATGTCCCCCACCGTACAAGGTATAGTTATGATTAAACAAATCTTTTAGTGTTAATAATGTACTCTGATATACATTGTAGTACAAATGCATTAGTTTCTTCATCACATTGCTGGCTTCATTTCTAAGTTGACACATAATTATATTTATATTTCGACTGCCATCATTTGCAAACGTTTTCGTTGTAGCCTAGATAGTTTCATTATTTTTGAAGAGTAGAGCTTTAAATTGTGATAGAGAGTTTACATTGGATCAATCAAAATTAAGAGAGAATGAGTTGAATTCCCTAAATGTACTTGGAAAATAGCTACTATAATAGCTAACTGTTCTACATATTGGAGTGTTGAAATATCTACTCGTCCTTAAAGGATATCTTTCATTTTCACTGTGATATATAAACGGTTGCACTATATCTTTCAGATGTTGCGGGGCCATGCCATGAAGTATCTTGAACATTTTGTTTTTGTCGTCTATCTGAGAGAGATTCCCAGACAAGTTCTTTATACAATTTATTACCCTTTTAAACGCTTTTTCATATATATAATTTACATGGTGAATTCATTTACCATCTTCAGATAAAATAACACCTAGATGTTTGTGAGTAGCAAGGATTGAACTGGGCTATTGTTAAAAATATATCTGGATGTAGTATGTCTCTTTTCCTAGTAAATATCATTGATACAGTTTTTGAAGTGTTGAAATTAATATCCCACTGTTTACCCCAAGTACTAATATTTGAAAGCTTTTCTGAAATTTTATTAGCTATTTCAATATTGTTATTTTCATTTATGTCACTTAAGGATGTATCATCAGCAAACAATTTTATGTCACTAGTAACAATATCGGCAATATCGTTAATATATAAAAGAAATAAAAAGGGACCTAAAACAGATCCTGGTGGAACTCAAGCGTTTACAGATTTATAAGTTGAGAAAATACCCTCGGTTAAAACATGTTGTTTTCTATCTGACAAGTAATTTTTAAACCAACTTAGCAAGTTTCCTTTAATACCATAGGATTCTAGTTTGTATAATAACCCTTCATGCCATGAACGCTTTACCTATGTCACAGAATACAGAGCGGATTTGTCGTCCTTTATCAAGGGAATCCGTAATCATATGATATATCGAAAGATGTTCATTCACAGTTGAATCTCCTGGAATAAAACCTGACTGGTTCTTAGTAATGATTTCATATTCTCGCAAATAGTTATATAGATTTAAAAAAAATACTTTTTCTATTATTTTGCTAAAGCAAGAGGTAACTGAAATATGGACGATAATTAGAAACATCATGTTTCTCACCCTTGCCTTTATAAATAGCATTCATGTTTGCAGCTTTCCAGGACAATGGGATTGATCCAGTTTCCATGGTTTTAATTACAAAGGAGAGTAAGAGGAAGAGTGATAGAAGGTTTTATAAGTTTTGGGACCACTCCATCAGGACCAGCGGGCTTCTTCCCATTTAAAGTAGAAAGTTGATCTTTAATATCCTGTTGGGTGAACTCAATGCTATCACTTACGAAAGGACAGACAGGAGGGGAAGGGAGAGGATCAAGATCATTTGCTGAAGTAGAGATAGAAGAAAAGTAAGTATTAAGACATTCTTCCTTATCAAATGGATTTTGAAGGAAAGAGCCATTATCGTTTAAAGGAGGGACACTGGTTTGTTTATTGTCGGTTTTTAACAGAGATTTCGCTACTTTCCACCACTTGTCAGGTGGTAACTATTGCTATTAACGGAGGATTCGAGTTTCAAGAGGTATTGTTTTTTTGTAAGTCTAATTAATCAATTGTTTCATTTCGAATTAATCTATACCTTTCCCAGTGAAATGGGGAATTTGTGTTAACAGCTTTATTATGGATACGATTTCTTTGCCTTATTTTAAGTCTAATAGTAATTGTAAACCATGGTTTATCATTTGGTCTTACTGTAACTGATCGATGTGGTACGAATTCCTCGATTTGTTTATTTATGGATTCAGCCAGAATATTATTGAAATCGTTAACATCATTGTTCTGGGAAATAGAGATCCAGTCAATATCACTAATATTACTATTAATCCTATCAATGACTGCATTATCATATTCAAAAATGGTTTTCTTATATGCAGTTTGTTTCTATACTGAGTATGCTAACAGTCAGAGTTAATAAGACAATGATCACTGCATACGTGACTAAGGACTGATGTACTTTTAATCAAGTTCCTGTTGTTGGTGAGTATAACATCAATAGAGGTAGCGCATGTGGGAGTAATTCTAGTAGGCTCATTTAGTAAACTGGTAAGATTATATTTTGTTAGTAATAGCCCTAGATGAGAGTGTGGCTGAAGGGATAGCATATCTACATTTATATCACCAGTTAGAATAGCATCAGTAACATCATCATCAAAAACTTTATCAAACATACCATCTAACTTTCGCCAGTATTTCAACAGTAGATTCAGGTCTGTAGAAACAACCCAAAAGTGATGTACGATTATCAACTGTTAGTTCAAGCCAGATAATTTCTATATCGTTGTGTTCCAAATCAATTCTACGCTTACTAACAACTGTAATTTTCGTATAAATAATAATTCCACCTCCGAATCCTCCTTGTCTATCCTTTCGATAAAAATCACATGAAAAACTATCTAAAACAAGGTCACTATCACGTATTAATGGGGTAAGATGTGTTTCTGTAAGACATTTGATATCATTTTCAGAAAGTTCATTATCTAATATTTGCAATTGCCACTGTTTCTGAAGCGATAATTTTATTTAATTCAATATCATTACACAACAGTAATAGGATTACCAATATAGGATTAAAATGTGCGTTTTTCTCAATAAAAGTTAGACTGTATAGATAGAGTAAATCAGAATATATTTTGAGTGCATTATATTTGTTACTTCCATGTACGTCATGTACCCATAGTCTAATTACATATTGCACACATTAACCGGTGTCTAAGTGGTATAACATTATTTGGTACACGATACACATGGAAGATAAGATATGAGAAAAGAAACTTGACTTGGGGTGGAGACACACTATACTCAACATTACACAAATAATTATATACAAGATTAAAAGTAACATAAACATTTTTTTTTTGAAAAATCTGCCTGAGACAAACTGATGATAATATTAAATTCTATTTTTACTTAAGAATGCAATTTTAACTACAACTGATATCCATCTTTTCGTCTATAAGCCAATTTCAGTCGATGTTGCCGCCTAAAAGCCAGTACCAGTCGATCTTACAGCTATAAAGCCAGCACCGGTCGATGTTAACGCTAAACCAGCACCAGTCGATGTTACCGTTGAAAAGCCAAATCCAGTCGATGTTACCGCTTAAAAGCCAGTACCAGTCGATGTTACAGCTAAAAAGCCAGCACCAGTCGATGTTACAGCTATAAAGCCTATTTGGTACACGATACACATGGAAGATACAGTACCAGTCGATCTTAAAGCTAAAAAGCCAGTCCCAGTCGATGTTACCGCTAACAAGCCAGTACCAGTCGATCTTACAGCTATAAAGCCAGTACGAGCCGATCTTACAGCTATAAAGCCAGTGCATGTACCAGTCGATGTTACCGCCTAAAAGCCAGTACCAGTCGATGTTACCGCTAACAAGACAGTACCAGTCGATCTTACAGCTATAAAGCCAGCACCAGTCGATCTTAAAGCTATAAAGCCAGTACCAGTCGATCTTAAAGCTATGAAGCCAGTACCAGTCGATGTTATCGCTAACAAGCCAGTACCAGTCGATCTTACAGCTATAAAGCCAGCACCAGTCGATCTTAAAGCTATAAAGCCAGTACCAGTCTATGTTACCGCTAACAAGCCAGTACCAGTCGATCTTAAAGCTATAAAGTCAGTACCAGTCGATCTTAAAGCTATAAAGCCAGTACCAGTCGATCTTACAGCTATAAAACCAGCACCAGTCGATCTTAAAGCTATAAAGCCAAGCTATAAAGTCAGTACCAGTCGATCTTACAGCTATAAAGCCAGCACCAGTCGATCTTACAGCTATAAAGCCAGCACCAGTCGATCTTACAGCTATAAAGCCAGCACCAGTCGATCTTACAGCTATAAAGCCAGCACCAGTCGATCTTACAGCTATAAAGCCAGCACCAGTCGATCTTACAGCTATACAGACAGTCCCAGTCGATCTTAAAGCTATACAGCCAGTACCAGTCGATCTTACAGCTATACCGCCAGTACCAGTCGATCTTACAGCTATACAGCCAGTCCCAGTCGCTCTTAAAGCTATAAAGCCAGTACCAGTCGATGTTACCGCTAACAAGCCAGTACCAGTCGATCTTACAGCTATACAACCAGTACCAGTCGATCTTACAGCTATATAGCCAGTCCCAGTCGATCTTACAGCTATACAGCCAGTACCAGTCGATCTTACAGCTAAAAAGTCAGCACCAGTCGATCTTACCGCCTAAAAGCCAGTACCAGTCGATGTTACCGCTAACAAGCCAAAACCAGTCGATCTTACCGCCTTTAAGCCAGCACCAGTCGATGTTACCGCTAAAAAGCCTGCACCAGTCGATGTTACCGCTTAAATGCCAGTCGATCTTACCGCCTAAAAGCCAGCACCGGTCGATGTTAACGCTAAACCAGCACCAGTCGATGTTACCGTTGAAAAGCCAAATCCAGTCGATGTTACCGCCTAAAAGCCAGCACCAGTCGATGTTACCGCTAAAAAGCCAAAGCCAGTCGATCTTACAATTAAAAAGCCAGCACCAGTCGATGTTACCGCCTAAAAGCCAGTACCAGTCGATGTTACCGCTAACAAGCCAGTACCAGTCGATGTTACCGCCTAAAAGCCAGCACCAGTCGATGTTACCGCTAAAAAAAGCCAGTACTAAGTCCGTATCCGTCTTGGTGAGACAAGACAGTTGATGTTTCCGTCGGTGAGACGGGTAAATCCACGCTGCTGTCGATGACACGCTCTTTTTTTGTGTTGGGGCCAGTGAGACGGACCTCCGTCGGTGGTGTTATGTTGTTTATCTATATATGGTAGTAGTGTTTCAGCTATCGACTAATAGTAACTCCCTCCTCTTATAGGAGAACCAGCTCGCGAGGCTGTATGTTGATTCTGAAGCCAGATACACTATATTTGACTGGCGGTTTGAAGCTGTATAGCTGAAGTGGGAAACATATATGTACCCGTATTGCAATGTTTGCTGAGTAGTCTATGGGAAAGTAGAGCTTAATCAAGGATCTCGGTAGACTAAGTTTGGGTGAACTATAATGTGAAGAGAAAGAGACAGTTTAAACGACCTATATCTCAGTAATATCGACCTAAACCACTGTAATATTACAAGCATGGAAAAGCTGAAGGTTTGAAATAGTTGAAGATGACGCCAACAAGGACAAATGCGAAAATCAAATTCCATGAAAACTAAAAGTAAAAATGTCGGTTACGTTACAGAATACTGAAAGACTGTGGCGGGACTTTCCTCGAGAATTGTCGGTCAAGGCGGATATTGTACCTTCCAATGGCAGCCATAGATCAGTTCCAGACACGGGAATTGTTGGAGATAAGGATCTTGCTGTACATTGATGGAATCAGCAATGACGTTGATGTGGTTTAGGGTGACGAGGACCATCAAATATCTGATTTACGCCCTTCCCGCAGACACAATCACTGCAGGACTAAACCTCGATTCGAGGAGACTCTAGATCCGGAAATTCGCTATACACAAGCTGTACACTGTATCATCACGTCTAAAGACGATATCGGATTGAAATCGGGAAATCGCTTCCTTCTCAATTACAGGGCACTCACCATAAACTATCTGAGGTCATGGATTGACAAAGTTAATGGTGTAGAAACATGAAAGATTACGTTATTAGAATCAGATTCTACGAAGAGACTAGGTCAGGTCATTGTATATCAATAAATTCGGTTAGGCACGTGTAAACTTAAATAACATAGTTAATCAATTGTGATAAAGGATTGCCTTGTTTTTGTGTGTTTTTAAGGAGCTCTGCACTTGGACCGTTCAGAACAGTAAAATATCGATGAATGCCCTTCATTTTTATTTACCACCTTACTGCCGATGTATTTCAAAATTCCTATTTTTCGTAATAATTTCTTTATAACTCTCCATCAGTGTATTTTCAAACCCCTATTTAACACAAAATTTGATTGGGTAAAATGTTGACAGTAACGGGGTTTTATTCTTACTTTGACAAACATCTGTTACATAACACGCGGACAACACACGTGGACTTAGATTTTATACTCACTTCCTATTTATTCAAAAGTGCTCTTCGTGGAGTTAAGACACATTGAAAGACTTTCAAGAATGAAACCAATAAGTAAACGTGCGTGATTGAAAGCTAGTTTTAGAGAAGTGACATGAAAAATAACTGTTACACAAATTCTAGGTATCATGATCCGAGATATATAATGTACACTTTATAAATGATAATTTGTACAGGTTATGGCAAAGTATTTTTGGGTTCCATTGTTTGTAATCAAAAGTAATTACGATGGTTTGATTGATCAAACACTGACATATTGTATATCAGCCCCAAGAATTACTGAGATATACCAATACATATACGTGCTGTTCTACACCCATACAAAGGTCCACCTCATGTCATTATCATTTTAAATTTCAAACATACACATAGTTATCAATCAATTTGTGCAAGAATTTTCATGTAAAATGATACCTTCAATCAACGTCTAATGTATTGCAAACTCAACTTATTGGTATAACCGTACAACCAACATATCTGTTTATAACAGAGGATTACTCAGTTCCAGACAATACTTTATTGGTGGTCATAGAACATTGTACATGTAAGTACTCAGATCCGGACAATACTATATTGGTGGTGATAGAACACAGTACATGTAGGTCCTCAGTTCCGGAAAATACTATATTGGTGGTCATAGAACACTATACATGTAGGTCCTCAGTTCCGGAAAATACTATATTGGTGGTCATAGAACACTGTACATGTAGGTACTTAGTTCCGGACAATACTATATTGGTGGTCATAGAACACTGTACATGTAAGTACTCAGTTCCGGAAAATACTATATTGGTGGTCATAGAACACTGTACATGTAGGTACTTAGTTCCGGAAAATACTATATTGGTGGTCATAGAACACTGTACATGTAGGTACTTAGTTCCGGACAATGCTATATTGGTGGTCATAGAACACTGTACATGTAAGTACTCAGTTCCGGACAATACTATATTGGTGGTCATATAACACTGTACATGTAGGTACTCAGTTCCAGACAATACTATATTGGTGGTCATAGAACACTGTACATGTAGGTCCTCAGTTCCGGAAAATACTATATTGGTGGTCATAGAACACTGTTCATGTAGGTACTTAGTTCCGGACAATACTATATTGGTGGTCATAGAACACTGTACATGTAGGTACTCAGTTCCGGACAATACTATATTGGTGGTCATAGAACACTGTACATGTAGGTACTCAGTTCCGGACAATACTATATTGGTGGTCATAGAACACTGTACATGTAGGTCCTCAGTTCCGGACAATACTATATTGGTGGTCATAGAACACTGTACATGTAGGTCCTCAGTTCCGGACAATACTATATTGGTGGTCATAGAACACTGTACATGTAGGTCCTCAGTTCCGGACAATACTATATTGGTGGTCATAGAACACTGTACATGTAGGTCCTCAGTTCCGGACAATACTATATTGGTGGTCATAGAACACTGTACATGTAGGTCCTCAGTTCCGGACAATACTATATTGGTGGTCATAGAACACTGTACATGTAGGTCCTCAGTTCCGGACAATACTATATTGGTGGTCATAGAACACTGTACATGTAGGTCCTCAGTTCCGGACAATACTATATTGGTGGTCTTAGAACACTGTACATGTAGGTCCTCAGTTCCGGACAATACTATATTGGTGGTCATAGAACACTGTACATGTAGGTCCTCAGTTCCGGACAATACTATATTGGTGGTCATAGAACACTGTACATGTAGGTCCTCAGTTCCGGACAATACTATATTGGTGGTCATAGAACACTGTACATGTAGGTCCTCAGTTCCGGACAATACTATATTGGTGGTCATAGAACACTGTACATGTAGGTCCTCAGTTCCGGACAATACTATATTGGTGGTCTTAGAACACTGTACATGTAGGTCCTCAGTTCCGGACAATACTATATTGGTGGTCATAGAACACTGTACATGTAGGTCCTCAGTTCCGGACAATACTATATTGGTGGTCATAGAACACTGTACATGTAGGTCCTCAGTTCCGGACAATACTATATTGGTGGTCATAGAACACTGTACATGTAGGTCCTCAGTTCCGGACAATACTATATTGGTGGTCATAGAACACTGTACATGTAGGTCCTCAGTTCCGGACAATACTATATTGGTGGTCATAGAACACTGTACATGTAGGTCCTCAGTTCCGGACAATACTATATTGGTGGTCATAGAACACTGTACATGTAGGTCCTCAGTTCCGGACAATACTATATTGGTGGTCATAGAACACTGTACATGTAGGTCCTCAGTTCCGGACAATACTATATTGGTGGTCATAGAACACTGTACATGTAGGTCCTCAGTTCCGGACAATACTATATTGGTGGTCATAGAACACTGTACATGTAGGTCCTCAGTTCCGGACAATACTATATTGGTGGTCATAGAACACTGTACATGTAGGTCCTCAGTTCCGGACAATACTATATTGGTGGTCATAGAACACTGTACATGTAGGTCCTCAGTTCCGGACAATACTATATTGGTGGTCATAGAACACTGTACATGTAGGTCCTCAGTTCCGGACAATACTATATTGGTGGTCATAGAACACTGTACATGTAGGTCCTCAGTTCCGGACAATACTATATTGGTGGTCATAGAACACTGTACATGTAGGTCCTCAGTTCCGGACAATACTATATTGGTGGTCATAGAACACTGTACATGTAGGTCCTCAGTTCCGGACAATACTATATTGGTGGTCATAGAACACTGTACATGTAGGTCCTCAGTTCCGGACAATACTATATTGGTGGTCATAGAACACTGTACATGTAGGTCCTCAGTTCCGGACAATACTATATTGGTGGTCATAGAACACTGTACATGTAGGTCCTCAGTTCCGGACAATACT